ACACCACAGTCTAGAAAAGCTATATGTATTTAGCAAGTCTTGGCTCATACTTAAACATAGGCTCAATATTAAGATGATCATTTATTTCAGTGTTATTAATTGTTCACAGTATAGGGCACGGAGCATCTCATACAAGGGGAGACTGAGAGAGCTGGGGTTGTTCAGCCTTGAGAAGCGAGGGCTCAGGGGGACCTTAGCAGTGTTTATAAATATCTGATAGGAAGTGCAGAGAAGACAGAGCCTGGCTCTTCTCAGTGCTGCCAAGTGACAGCAGAAGCAACAGGCAGAATCTGAAATACACAGGAAATTTTGTCTGAACAAAAGAAAACACTTTTCTACTGTGAGGGTGGTTGAACACTGGAGCAAGTTGCTGAGATTTTGGAGTCTTCATCTTTGGAGATACTTGAAGCCTGTCTGGGCACAGCCCTGGGCAACCTCCTGCAGCTGGCCTTGCTTTGAGCAGGAGGGTAGGACTAGACAGTCCACAGAGGTCCCTTCCCGCCTCAACTGTTCTGATTTTGTGTTTGCCATCGCAGCTTGTCATCAGGCCAACAGGAGAAGAACCCAAGCTCTGCTGTAGCGGGGTTTTTTTGTCAGGAGCCACCCTGTGTTCCTAGGAGACTCTTTTTGGTCTGATTGCAGACAAAGATGTTTTAAGCTGCCTAGAGTCCAGCAATAGCAGCTCCTCCTTCCTCGCTGGTTGAAGCCTCCCCTCAGAATCAGGTGATGATTTTCAATTACAAGTTAGCAATGTCAATAAAATTAGTAAGGTCTTGTGAACCACAGCTGTGAACTGCTGCAAAATCCTGAACCAAAGTTTTCCACTGAAGAAGTAAACAGTAGAAATCCAGAAGCCTCCTTCTCCCAAGACACACACCAGTGGAGACACTCACAGACTTCTCGGTCTAGCACCAAAGCAAGCACCTAGCACCCTTGAAACCCTCATGTCAAAGAGAGTAAATACTGACTTCTGGCTTTAGTGTGGGAGCCAGGAACAGACATATATGCATTGCTTTATTTGGAAAGCCACTAACACACGACCAACAACAGAAAGTTTCTAAACCTTGCAACTGCAGATGGTTCAACGAAGGGCTACAAATATCACTTGAACCTGCAGAATAAAATAATCATCACTTGAAATGATGCCAGGTTGTCCCAGGTAACTTGCTGAAAACTATGACAGCCCATGGATCCCAGCCACAGAGCTTGTCTCTTTTACAAGACACTACAGATCTCAACACATCTGCTGTAGCACTGCCATTTTACTATGCCCATTCCCATGGCTTTGTTTTGTCTTTATTGCTTTCCCTACCTATTCCTTGGAGCCAGAGAGAGAGTAATTAACTGAAATTAACTACAAGTGTTCTCCATTAGAATTTATTTTCCAGTAAGTTTGAGCAAAGCCCACCAGGTAAGATGGACTACCTGAAGAATATACTACCCAAAAAAGTCAGAAGTAATTACCACAATAGACAAATATTTCTGCATTTTTATTCTTACAGTTTGAAGTGTGATGGTTGTCTGTTAGGTGTTATGAGAATGACTGGTCTTTCACCATAGTAGATTTTAAAGCACAAATGAGTGCAGTGCAGCAATGTGCTATCAGCAGGGATTGAATGAAAGAAAAACATGCGTGCAACTCATTATTCCTAGCTAATCAAGATTTTTCTTCTGGTTTGATAGGGCACATTCTACAGATCTTTGAAATCTTTAAAACTAAACCTTTTTGTCTTCACTTATCCTCTTGCAGAGTTAAGATATAGGACAAAATGGCAAGGCATTGGCAATATACTAATTTCTTTCTCTTTGCTGAGCTTTTATTCTACATTTCTTAGCTTTACATATGCAAGCAAGGCTTAAGGGTAGATAGGCTTTCATGACAAATAACTAATTCTTTGGACAGATTTTGGTGAGATGTGCGTCTCGGTTTTCTAATTTCCCTGGCATGATGCCATTTTTGTCAGTGACTTTTCTGACTCACAATAGTAAGGAGACTGTTGCCCTCGAGTTGCATGTTTTGGAGAGGGTTAGTAAACTTCTCTCTGTCAGCCTGTCTGCAGCCCAGCAGTGTTACTCAGCAATTCTGCTAGAGAGACACTTCTGTTTTGGAAAGACACAAAATGCATAAAGACTTTCACAGCACGGTCTTAGAGGAGTCAGAGAAATTAAACTGATTGGCTAAAATGAAGTAGAGGAACTATGTGCCCTCATTTCCCCTTCAAAATCAGCACCTTATAGGACAAGGTCTTCAGGAAAATAGCCAGATTGGAGGGATAACTGAGGTATTTCTTTACTTTCAGTCTGAAACTTAGATCTGAACAATACACTTGTAGGGTCCTAGAGTGTTTGAGAAGGTTCGGATTGACAGTCATAGGAAGCAATGAAAGCTCGTGTTTTTTAAAACTGTCATTAACTAATCACATTGATGCAAACACGACTGGTGTAGCACATGTTCACAGGGGCACCAATTGCTTAAATTCAGCTGCACGTCTGATTCTCCCAATGTTAAATAACAATTACTCCCAGCTGCATATTCCTAACCAGGATTAACAGCTGAATACAGGACTGCAGCAAGGGGCTGCCATTAGAGGTAGGGGACCAGGTCGGAAGGTCCCAGAAGTTCCTTCCCCATCTGTAGTTATATAATACATAAAAACTAAAGGAATTCTGCAAGTGATTATAGTTCATATTGCTCAGAGAGAGTGTTACATTCATTTATTGCCTTTTACAGCTATAAAAGTCTTGAGGTTACTATTACACTGGTAGCATAGCAGAGAAAACTTCCCACCCTGCTTCCCTGGGAAGCCAGCAGGCGCTGAGGCAGAGCACTAACAAGGGGGAGGCCAGGGATAGGGACGCAGATGCTCCCACCCACCTGCTCTTGTGCCATCCTCCAGATATTCCCTGGGCCTCTTCCTCCTTCCCATCCATCCCGCCTGGTCATTTTTAAGATTTCCAGCTCTTCTAAATCCAGTTTCTTTTGCTTCGTTTTCCTCATCAACGGTTTCAGAATGGCTGTCCTGTCCCTGGACACCCTGAGTAAGTGCTAGGCCATCTCTCTTCTGTAACAAAGCCTGGTTTCTGTGACATTAGCTGTGGCAAGCAGAAGAGGTCAACTGCCCTCACTTGCTTAACAGGGGAGTGAAGGTATTAGGGCTGACAGAATGGTTTTGGATGAATGGTTTTAGATGAAATCTAACCTATGAACTGCAGACCTAGTTTACAGATGTCCAAACTAAACAAGAAGCAGAGGTAATCAACTTTGTTCTCTTTGTTCTTTCACAAGCCTAATATGTAGGTTGGGTTTTTTTCCTTTTTTTAACCTTTAGGTAGAGTCAGGACAGTGCCACATTTTATATAGCAGAAACTAAAGATAGAGACATTAGTATTCTGTGGATTCATTTAGCAAGTACCAATTAACAGGTTCCTGTCATTCATTCAAAAGTTAAGAGCTTTGTTGCCAAGTTGCAACAAATTCATGGCTAGCTTTGATTGACAGTGATACTGCACATGAACAGTTTCTTATATGATAAATACCTTCACTCACTGGAAAACAAAATAAAGCATCTACTTCAAAGCGTGTCTGTCCTGTGGAATTTAGGAAGAACTCGTGGAAAGCCTGAAAAAGGCATGCTGAAATTTGTGGGATTATTCACCTACTTCAAGGCATGTACTAATGCGAGCTACAGCTTCAACATGTATCCTAACAAAAGCAATGCATACATTTATTAAGATCCTGACCTTTATTCAATACAAGGTCTAAACAGCTTATAGGAATATCCTATGGACATTCATAGCCCATATCATCTCCATATTCTTACCGGCAATCAACCTTCAGAATATGCTTCAAGGGGATTATTAAATAACCTACAGTGAATTTCAGTGTTCTTTGCTGACCTGAACTCCTCCCTTCAACCTAAAAATCCTTTAAACTGTTTTTTATATTCTGGAGCTTACACTCACTGTCTTAATAAATCCTTCTCAAAAACTAGAGCAACATACTGTAGTGCAACCTCCCGTGCATTGTCTGTCTTTACTTCCCCATTAACTAATGGAATTAAATGTTCCTTATTAGAATTCCTTTTTAATACCTTGTTAGTTATAACGTATTTTGAAGCTTCAGCCCTTCTGACTTTATACGCTCATGCTACTATGTTTTACTTGCTTTGAGCCAGAAAGCTTTATTCTTACTTTTTATATGATTCCCCAACCATTTCCAAATCTCAAACAGTTGGAGCATTCTTCCCTGCTGCTTTTTCTCTACCTTTGAGTTTTTAATACATTTTTTCAGTCACGGTCAATGCTTTGCCCAATTTTACCCAACAGATGAGCACTTCTCCATTCTTTTCTGGTTGCAGTTCCCCTTGCATGGCTCTAATTTTCTGATTATTAAAATAAATACATTTATTTTCTTTCAGGGTTGTAATTTTATTGGCCATAATTTCAATGAGTTTCACCTTCTTGTGGAAGGAGTTGCCCCCCATTAGACTAGGTCCTCTAGAGAATAGCCTGTCCTGGTCTTTTTGTGCTGAAGGCTGCTCTTTGAACACCACTGTCATTATTTTGCTTCCCTCTTCCTTCCTGACCTTAGAGTAACAGACACTGTCACTTTGTGATTATTTTTACCCAGATTACTCAAAAAAACCCCAACATTTTATTTCAACACAGAAACCATAATTTTATTGGAAATAATCAACAGAACTGCAAGAAGTTTTAACTCAGTCCTGCACTATGTATATTTCATCATTACAAAACTGCTCTCTGGTCGAAAGTCCTACTACTGCAGCAGCTTGAAAGCTGCTTAACAGAATGTCACAAATAGCATTTTTGTTTTTCTTACATACCTTGTGCTAGCAAACCTCCCCACATGTGGCAAACCTATTAGTTTGAAAGAGGAAGTGGTAAACAGGCTGTACAAAACTGATCTTTCAGTATCTATGGCAGTCTTTTTTTTTTTTGCTATTGGCAGCCTCCATTTTAAAGGGAGTGGCTTTTTCACTTCAGTTCAGTTTATCAGTAGGCTGACTTAGAGTTTTGCCATCATCCGCCTCCAATTCGTCTACCTCTTCCTGTAACTCATCCTCCAGCTCATAGTCCAAGACTGATTCAGCATTATCATCCCAGTAATGAGCTTCATATCTGTCCAGTAAGTATTTCTGTGGTGTAATGTCATCATCAGGAGGATTCTTTGCTTTTTTCTTTTTCATTTTCGTTTGAATCTTAGAAAGCTGCTGCTCCTGCTTTTCTGTCCAGGCAATGCTTTCTGTAACTCTTGACACTTTCAGTCTTTTGTAGTCCATTATCTGCTTATTCAGCAGTTCATGATCAATACCAAAAAGATTAGACCGCATGGGTGAATCTGAAGATTGCGTTGCTGAAGAGAACAGTTTACTGTGGAAAGGAAAACAAATGTTGTGGGTTTTTTTTTCCCCCGTGTGTGTTTTAAGGGGCAATGCTAACTGTGACAACTTGAGTAACACAGAAATAAACCTGGGGTTTCAGTCTGACTTTATTAATGCACTGTGTTCAGCATTGTGCTCCCTATGTTAAGAAGGAAGGGATACCACCGTACTATGTGTCCAAGGACAGGCTGTGTATAAGCCTGTCAGTGTGTCAAAACAGATTTAATGGGAGGAAGTCAATAAAGCAACTAAATTCCAGAGAAAACTGCTTACTTCTGGGAAAAGGTATGCATAGGTAACAGTGAGCACTGGACCTGGCAGCCCAAAGAAGTTAGACTTCTCCCAGGTCTTCCAAGAAGTGAGAAGCAGCAGCCTGTGCCCAGAACACATCAAACAGGCGTATGAATGACAGCATATGGCACCTTAAGCTGGACTTAAGTCCACAAGACACAGAGGAAGGTGTTAGGTGCCCTATGGGGAAGTCTGACGCAACAGTGATTTCCCCCAAGAAGCTATTTCTGATTTGCACCTGATGAACCATCCTGTGAGACATTAAGGCATAAAAGGCATTTCCACCAACAGACCGCAGCACACAAGTGCAAGGCTGTTGGCTTTGAGAGCATCCAGTCCATAGAATCACTATGCCAATAGACTGTTCAGCCCTGTCCCTCAATAGCCAAAAATCCCTCACAAAAGAGTGCTTTATTAACTTATTTTGTTAACTTAGGGAGATTTATCAGTAAACTTGTACTCATATACAACAATCCAAACTTATATCAGAAAAAAGTGGCCAAGTAGAGGAGTACTGGTAAATGTAGAGCTTTTATGCTCATGAGAAAATTAGCAGCAAGAAACAAGTATTACTGTTGCAAAACTTCTTTTTAAATTTAAATATCATGAACACATCAAGTCTTGAATTCTTAGAAATTCTAGAAGTATTTCCCTCATAAAAGTAAAGATACTAATAACAGAAGTAGTATTGGGTCTGCAAGTAACAAGCCTGATGACTATGTCACTCAAAGTACAGACATCAGACACAGCTCATTTCTAAGAGCATGTTCTGATATCACCTTATGGGTTAGTTGCCTCTGAAAGCATATACACTATGCTGTTACAAGTGACAATTCAGTCACTCTCCACAGCTTCACAGAGGCCCACTTATATATATAAGTAGACTGTCCCTTTCCATATTTGCAAACCTGTGGTCTGCAGCAAGGCACCTGTGCACAAGAACCAACAACAAAATAGCCTGTGAAAATGTGTCTGCACTAAAATATGAAAGTAAACTAGAGCATATATAATAAGAAATATTTTCCCTCAATTTTAATAAATGGGTGTAGCATTGGTAAAGAAAGCTTAAGCCACAAAATAAAATGCCATCCTCTACATTTAATTTCTGGGATGATTACATATTAGTTTTGTCCTAGGCTGTTCTGCAGCCTCTTCTGTTAATAAAAGGACCCAACTGATCTCTATAAAAGCTGAGATGCCTTTTTGGTAAGGTCTTCCAAAAAGTCTCTCTCTTCCACTTTCTATTTCCTCATAACACCATTTGCTGAACTCTGAGATAACAAAAAGGTACACATCTAATTAAAATATACTTTGTCACATCAAATAATACCCAATTTAAGTTGGCCAACAGAGATGAAAACGTACACTTATACAATTCTGATTCAAAAAACTCACCCAGAATCATTTTGAGATGTTTCGACTTCTTCTGGAGGTCCAAAATCAGCAATTGACAGTAATTCCTCAATCTGTAAGCACATGAATACAATACATATTAAAGGTCCTGTATTAAATTTACTTTGTTCACACCTACACAAGAAACAGACAAGTACCAAAAGCAAATATTTTATTTTCCACATGCTTCGAATATTTAGCAAAACAATTTCAAAATAGCCTTTTCCTCCATTTACATAGAACTGCTTATACTTCTTGCCTGGGAAGTTTGTGTCAAATAGCATAACTGATCCAGGTATTCCTACAAAGTTTTTTGCTTTATGTACATTCTGAACAGTTGGCTAGGGATTGTGTGACATATATAATTTTTGTTTTATTTGGTCTTACTTCAGTCTTGCAAATCCTTTTTCATAACATCCTTACACTGGGATTTTTTTCACTTTTTCCCCCTTTCTGTAAGTTTGTATTTCTATTGCATGTAAATACTGAGATACCAACTCCCTTTTAACATGGCACCTAACCAGTAAACGCTACAAATCTAGTGTATCCAGTGCTTATAGACTGTACCTAATTGTGAAAATTGTATCTTGTTTGAAATTTTTATTCCTACTTTTCTTTACATTACTTCCCTTCTAATTCAATGTATTTTTCTAGGAGTTTAATTGGATGGTCCTTCCCTGTCTTCCAACTTAAAAATCAGGTTCAGCTACATTATTTCAAGCCCTGTTATTCGAATCTGTGGATTACATAAATATGATGATCTGTGAAGTGTGAAAAGATGATCCAGCTAAGTGCTCCCCAGTGCCATTCACTGACATAAGCCGTATAAGGAGGGTTTTTACTTGTCTTGCGTGGTTAACTTTCTTGGTGCCTACACACTGAACTTGAATGTAAGGTAGCCCAGGGGTTTTCTTCTTCAAAAACCGTAAGTGGTCATTTAACAAAGTTTGAGAAACAGTGATTAATGGAACAGGTTCCACAACAACAGACCTGAAAGGAAGGACCTGCAGGAGTAGGTATTTGTAGCTCCATCTAGATATGTTAATAACAGAGTAATAGTAATGACAAAGTGCTTCCATAATCACTTGTTACTTGTGTAGAATTTCTTGTTTGATTAGGGGGAGCATAATAACAAATATAAACAGCTTTCAGAAGTGTTTAGACCAGCCGGGTTAGCTCAGTTGGTTAGAGCATGGTGCTAATAATGCCAAGTTCACAGGTTCAATCCCTGCTCACTGCAGGGGGGTTGGGCTAGATGATCTCTCAAGGTCCCTTCCAACCCAAAGCATTCTATGATTCTATTCTTGTGCTTTTTGTTGATGCTAACACAGGTGAAAAACATTTGCACTGTGGATCAGTATATTCACATGAAACTCAGAATTTTTCTGACCATAGAAAGTTCAAGCAATTCATCGCATTTCTAGAGAGTCTGAAGTTCCTGTTATCCCTTCCAGCTCTGCTAATACACACCACATGAGCCTGTAAGTCACTAATAGCAATTGGTTAATAGTAACACATCTAAGAATAAGGCACTTCAGGGCACAGAAATGTGACCACACTCTTTTCAACTAATGTTCTTTCCATTCACATCAACAGCTTGAGGAGACGTTTAAAAATCACTAATTAGATTCAATGGCATTTTAAAAACACCTAACATTTAAAATGTGCAAGACAGCTCCTCACCTCATTTCTATGATCACGTATACCAGGCAACAGACAACCTACCCTATATTATTCCTTAAAATTGTAATTTCATTTTTTAGGATTTCTTTATTGACTTAATGATCTGGCCTACAAGCTTCTCTGAAAAGTTCACTTCAGAAATTTTAATAGTAGCATCAAAAAAAGTTCATGAGGCAATAGCTACAAGGATTCTTTTACATTGTATATGAGCATCAGCCTTACTCAAGATTCTTCGCTAAAATACTTTGGAACATGAAGAGGAAAGGGTATACACAAAGACTGATTTTTAATGTAGACTGGTAGAGCAATTGAATGATCAGCTCTCTCCATATTCCTAAGCATTATGGTATGCTAAGTCACCATGTTTGCATATCATTACATTTGTATATTGAGACAAAGATTACAATTACCTCTTTTACAGCTGCAGCTTCTTTGTCTTTTACAAATACTATCGGGGGTACATTTCCTAGAATCTGCTGACTCATCAAAAGATACCTAGCAAAAATACAGCATTCACCAGTATAAGTAACAGTGCAGCACCTCCAGGACAGATAAAATACATTACATTAATTCCAGCAGTATTGCAAATTTAAGGATATGGTTTGCAAAACTTACAGTCTGATGGATATCCATTCAGGTTAGTGCTAAGCAATAAATCACTGCAGAATCCCAACTCTCAATGTATAACATACAAGAACTACTAAGTGCAGATCCCACTGAGAATTGATGATATTAGACTTGTCTCCTATATGCACAGGCTGGCGCAGGCCTTTCCTCACTTCATTTGGCTTCCTTATCCCCACTGTAGGGGTGAGAGCAGTGGGGGATAGAGCCCTCACAGCAGGGCAAGACAACTAGTCCTACATGCTAGCTGCAGAAGGACTGACAGGGCTCCCTTCGTCTTCTTCCCAGCCAGCAACATTCCTTCTCAAAGAGCACAAGCAGTTGGGAGCAAAGAGAGCATTGTGCTGGAGCAGGAATTACACAGACTAGGGAAACAGGGGAAAGGAAATGGCTCTACAAGTAAGCTTCAATGCCACCTTCACCATGGGGTGAAGTCCTGATCCTCCAACAGACTGGCTGGACAGCAGAGGGTAAGCCCAGGAAAGAGGGAGAGACACAAATCTCTATGATATCCTGAAAACTCACTGGACCCTCTGCTAAAAATGGGTAAAAGCATCACAATACACAGTAGCATTCTGACATTTATTTTTTGGTATCAGTATTGTGAAGAATTTCTGTAATGTCAGTCATCCCCTCTGGAGATGTCCCTAGTGATCAGAATTGCCCAGTGAATCTGTAAGGAGATATGTTGTAATTGCCAGTCCTCTTGTGCAGCATCATATTCTGGCCTACTGTCGCACACAGCATGTCCAGCCTGCCATCACTAGTACAATGAAGTGAAATGTCATCCAAACTCCTCTTTCTTTCTGCTCAGCCCAGTCCAATTCTAGGAAAGCACAGAAGCCAAATAAGCCAGCTGTGCTCCAGCAGAGAATACACAGCTGGTCTGAGATAGTCATCCTTCCCTGTGAGGCTCATCACAGGAGATGCTCTGACTCCAAATATCTAAAAACCTAAAGCACCGTAACAGGCCAGATACAGCTTGTTAGAAATACTTAAAAAATGGTACTAGTACATGGCTATGAATTTATGAAGCGGCCTGTTTACCCCATAGCAGTACCGTATACGTGGAGCACTCTTCTGCAATACACTTTCAACATAACTTTCTTTCTCCACAGTAGCAGCAGGATTCCAGTACACACGACATGCTGAAAAGTTTGATGCCAGGGACACCTACAAAAAGACAAACATTTCTTTAAAATTATATATATATACACACACACACTCTTCATATACAACAAAGTCTCTAATTCATGAAAAAGCATAGTGACCCAAACTGGATATGTAAATTCTTAGGAGAACCTCTTCTTCCATCTCTGCTCTTAAGAACTAAAATTACATGGTGCCTTTAAAGAGGTAGAGTTTAACACCAAATAAGATTTACATTCGGTACCTGAAAGGCCTTTTCTTTATTTAGGCAAGTCACTGCCTAATCTCCCCTTCAACTGAAATTAAACAGAGGAGACGTCTGTCAACACCTGTATGTTACTGCCAGTGCTACATCTAGTCAGTGCAATGGTGCTACCATCACAAATACAGAATGACAATTTATGGCATACCATTTTGGAATACAGTTGAAAGTGTAAGTTTCCGCTAAAGAAGGACCTGTGACACTGCCTGGTTTGTTGTCACCCTGAGTCTGGTTTTGATACTGACAGAAAAGAGGATGCCCGTTACACTGTAATGTAAGTCTCTCCAGCTCTAAAGCCTGCTGGGAACCTCCAGTGCTTTAGCTCACTAACAGATAATATTCATAGCTGTCATGCATGCAACTGAAAGCGCATGGTGTGCAGGGACCAAAGCACACAAGATAGACTGACAATCTTCCTGAAGAATAAACTTCCAAAACACAAGCTGCATTCTGAAAGATTTCTGTAACTGTCATTCACGGCATCTAGCAGCGTCTTACAAAACAGGCTCTCACTATGAGAGTACACCCAGCAAACTTCTAACAACCTATCTGGCTCAGCCAAAGGAAGGAGCTGAGGAAGAAGGAGGAGAAGGCATAAACTAGCCATTAGAAGGCACAACTCAGAGGTCCTCTAGTCCAGAAACCAACTCTTCAAATAAGCAGGCGTCTACAGACATTAGCAGGAAAAGACAACTCCATCAAAGTATTCCCAGGAGTGAAAACTGCATCACAGTCTGCTGTTGACAGTGCTACTCTTTCCTAGGGCAGAATGGACTGTCCCCAAGAACCAAAGTAGATACTGATTTTTTCCACCACCAAATAACTCCTGCCTCATCACTCATTAAAAATAAAAAAAACCCACAGTGATGATTAACCAGCTGTTTCTACTGCAGGATCAACCCTCCCCATCTCCCACACTGAGTCTAATGTAAGCACATAAAAAACCCTATCTAACACAAGCCATTTCTTCATCATCACATGAGTAATGTTATCAAGTGGATAAAATTGTGATGGATCAAGCCTGAAGCACGATTCTTACCTGTATTACTATTATGTAATTTTAACTTTTTATACCCAAAAAACCAAATTCTGATGGATTGTAGAAAGCCGGCCAGATTTCTTTTGATAACAGAAGTAACAATATAGGACCAGAATCAGCTCAAGAGTAAATCAGGACTGACTCTCAGCCACATCCCAGTGCAGCACGAACACTAAGCTCTACGCAGGTATAATAAAATCCGTACTGTATTTGGAAGAAGGCTGTTTCTTTCCCTCTCTCATGTTGTAAGTTATTTCATTTACAGCAATGCCTCCTGAAAGTACTGTGGCTTGCCTACATCAGCCAGTATTTTTATGTGCAGACATGCCATCTGAGTTAGACAAGCAATCCTCAAAGCCCTAGAGAGAGAGAAAGACTATATGAAGGATACTGCACATATAGAGCCAAAAGATTCATTTTGCCCATGTACTTTTAATCACTTGCCTGAAGAAAGAATGAATTCAGCTGGCAAAAAACATGTTTCAATCATAAATGACAAACCCCTTGTCACAGATGCAGCTATGAGGTGCAATTTTTTTTTTCCATGCTTCTAACTAACAAAGCTAAGTCCATCAAGCGTTTAAGCCAAACGTTGATATCATTTAATCTTAACAAAACAGCAAATGTGGAAGAAAAACTACAGACAACAAACAAGAATGTGGAGACTGACTTAGCTCCTGATTCAGAGGTTTAACATCCCTTCCAACCCATGAATTACAACAATGCTAGCTCAATTAGGTACAAATTCCAATTCTATCTGGAACCTTGCTTGCCAATGGCATTTTCTTAGGCTTGCCTTTTTTCTGAACTAAGCTCACAGCCCACTTAGGTCTTCTGCCTGTGTAATGATGCTGGTGAGGGACAAAAGGAGGTATCAACTCTCACACAGCTGCATGAAGAAAAGACTCTTGGAAAGATACACTTAGGGTGGTAACACCAGGCTCCTCCTTCTGAAAGGGCAAGGCAAATAGTACATCTCTGAGTAACAGGAAAAAAAAAAAAGGTCATACCAGGAGAATCACCATTTAGTTGACCTAAGCTGCATTTGCATTATAGTGGCAAAGGTGTACTAAGCCACGTACAACAGTGCCAAAGTTCTCCTAGCTTACAAGGTGAATCCAGAGCCTCATCTCGCTGTGCTGCACCGCATCAGAAGCAATGCAATAAAACCTCCCCTGCACACATCACAACACCCAGGGAAGCTCCTCTGGTGCGCCATGCTGACCTCAAGGCAGTCAGAGTGACTCAACACAAGCTGTAGCTTTGGCACTTGCCTTGCAGATTTCCAGCTTGAGATCATAAAGTTCTTGATTAACTTCACAGGTAGTCATCATCTCTGTCACAGCTTTATGAATAAGACTATTCAAGACTCTGCAGCGTATGTTATCTTCTTTCCTATTTTTTGTCTGGTCATCTTTCATTACAGAAGCCAACTTGGTTGGTTTATACATCTTTAAAAAAAAAAAAAAACCAACACATTAATCAGTAGTTAGAAACTTGTATTAGGCAGTTATATACAGTTTTGTGCACCCTACTAAGTACGCTCTTGGAATATCATTACTGAAGCTGTGATGGCTTTATATAGATCTTATGTACCAGGTGTTTCAATAAAGAATATTTCTGTTCAGAAAATCTTTGACCTTCATTCATTCCAGTCAAGGTTTCTTAGTTTCTTTATTATTTTGTAGCAAGTTACACATTTCAATAAATCAGTTTCTTAAATACAACAAGTATTAACTGAAAAGCATTGCTTGTTTGAAAAACAAACATGGAAATTTACTTTTCTATAAAAGTAAAACTAAGCTGGTATACAGAAGTTTTAATCTTGATCAGTTCTCTGCTATGGGCTCAAGAGCGTGCAAGAGAGCGTTGGTGCTCACGCGGATGAAGGAAGGATCAGCACAGAAGAGGACACAGCCACGGGGAGCCGAACGGCATCTCTCGACAGCAATCCTGGCACGTCACAGTGAAACTGGAGCTCTAGTGTTCATTCACAAAATTATGCTATTTCCCCACCAGAAAACACTTTTCCCAAAGTTAGGCACAATGGCAGAAGGTTGTTCCTCCTGGCACAGATAAACACAGCACCTTAAAAGCTTGCACTTACCATTTTAGATCCCAGGGTCGGGCTGTCATACCAAAACTTCTTTCTTTTGGAAAAAGGAAAGGAAATCAGCTTTATCTTTCAGCAGCTCAAAGAAACAACGGGTATCCCCTGTAATTAAAATGCCACCTGCCGGAAGGCACACGGTTTTCATGTCCGCACGTCGTTTTCCCCACAGCGGTTACAGGCTCAGGTGCAGCGCGGGGAGCAATGCTTCCCACTGACGGCCGAGGCTGCACAAGGAGCGGGGCTACGAACAACCCCAAGGTTTCTTCAGAGGTGGGCCTAACTTGGCACAGAACTCAAGCACCGTCGCCAGCGACCCACGGGCACGGGAGGTGCCGCTCGGAGGGCGACTCGGGGTGGGTGGCTTTCCCCCATACTACCGGGAATACGGGAGCGCCCCGAGTCCCACAGCCCCGCTCACACAGCTT